ATGGCCTCCAACCTAATAGCAATGGCCTCCAACCTAATAGGGATGGCCTCCAACCTAATAGTAATGGCCTCCGACCTAATAGCGATGGCCTCCATTCTAATAAGGATGGCCTCCAACCTAATAGCAATGGCCTCCGACCTGATGGCCTCCATTCTTCTTGGCTCTGCACCTTGTTTTCTTGCCACCTGTTCGCTGCACCGAAGGTTTCCCATTCCTTGGAACATCGAAGCATCGTTTGATGATTCATTCCATGTACTTCCAATCTTCTCTTGTGCTTCCACATTGACGCGAAGTTGTGCACCATACTGATTCAAAATGATCCGAATTGTGCACACACACACACACATCTCCTATTGTCCTTCCAACTGTTCGGCTTCACAGTAGTTGTCACAGATTGGCTCGACAAATGCTGTGTTTTCCGGTCCAGGTGTCGACAGCTTAAATGGCTGATCACCATGTGCTGCATCGTCAGTAGGTTGCTGTCCAGCCTGGGGTAAAGACCATGGTCACAAAAGGTTGCATTCAGCAAACCCAGCCTTGGCAGCTGCACTTCTTTCCTTGGCAATTGCAATCCAACTCAGCGTGCTCATTGCTTTGTCCAAACTTGATTCATAAGGGTTCACACGTCAATGTACCCGTGCACTACTTGAGACCGAGGGTTGGTGACGAAAGCTAGCAGGGCAGGGGTGAAGCGGGGGATAGCCGAGCGAGAAAGGGGTCCAAATCCTGCCGCCACAGGAACAGTCAGCCCCCTGCCAGCGGACGTCCCGGAGACGCCCCAGGGAGGAGTTGAACCCGGAGGGCCCCCCCCCCCCTAACATATGAAGTTTTCACGCGATGCGGCTCTCGAGGATTCCAGCCCCTCATTTGCTAAAGCAAGATTAACTCCAGCTAGCTGGTGCTAGCTTTCGTGATCAGCGATGCTATAGCAGCGCTTCGACTGTATACAAATAAAATATAACAAAATCAAATAAAGTCCTAGGGGGTTGAAAGAAAAGGAGTAGTCTATGGCTTGAGGCTTAGAAACAACATTCAGAAGCTGGGGATTCAGGTTCAGCCACCCGATGCTACAACAGCGCTGTTCTCAAACGCATCACAGTACCAGATTTCCTTGCGCATTGCAATACAGTATATCGTTCCATCTTCATTGACTCCGCATCTACAGAACCAAAGATCTGAGCTTGGAGCTGCCATTGGCTTAGAAGCAACCTGTCAGATGTTGAGCAAGTGTGATGCTGGTAATTGTCACTGCAAGCAACACGTGTATTCGAAGACCAAACGGTCACAACAAGCATCTCTTCCCGCCTCCTCTATGGACATCATGCTAGACTTCCCGAGCGATGCCTTGCATGGACAATTCAGTTGCAAATGTGGAAACTAGGATTCCGGAAAAGGACTCAATGGCTTAAAACCTTCTCGGCATGTAAAATGGAAAGTACAAAGTGGCCAAAGCGGTGCAACCAGATTGACCCAAATCCCCTCAGGGCGCTCTCGAGCAAGAAAGGTCGGCCATCACAGTGACAAAATGGAAAAGGCAAAGAGCTTGCCCAGCGAGCCAGCACAGAGGGGCTAGGAAGATTGCTGTACAAACGAATTCTAATCGAAGAAAACCCCACCTCGCCACCATTCTTCACGAATTCACTGCCCAAGTGAGTGAACACCTTGCAAGATGCAAATACAAGTTTGCGCTCTTAGCCATTCAGACTCTTAGCGACTTGTGGATCATTCGTTGGATTAGAATTAAAGAATAATATTCCTTTTACAAGACTCCTGGACAAAAGCTTGCCCTGATGGTTTGCTCCGAGTCCCTCTGTCGCTCAGGTCCGCATCTTGAAGTGGTCTGCTTTGTGCCAATGTAGAGAGTACACAGTTGCTGCGATGCCTCCGTTACATTCAGGTCGTCCTTGACGCAGGTCCTGATGAATGAAGCTATCTTCAGGATTCCTTGTTGTTGAAGCAAGTCTGTCGTGCCATGCCTAGCTTATGACACTGTCAACGTCCTGTAGAGCTTGAGACGCAGCTTCTTGGCAAGCCTGCGAAGAATCTCTTTAAATCTTGCTGCTGATGGGGGAGACAAGCTATGCTCATGACACTAACCTTGCCAAAGCAAAGTTTAGAAAACAAAAAAAATGCACTAAGAGCTGCGCGTCTCAACTTCTTTCGCGTCAACAACCGCATCATCCATCAGATCCACCTCGCAGCTGAAGCGAATGAACCCCCCAAGATCGACAACTGACTGTATCTGTCTTGGATCTGTGCAAAAAAAAACACAAAAGGTTCTTCAATCAATGTGCCTGCCTTATTCTGAACAAGCACCATCGCCAACTGGCCGCATTCGTCATGGACCTCCAAAGCCCATCAGCACCAATGCACCAACCGTTCACAAAAGGAGACTGCAAGTGTGTGCCAGAAGAAGTTCGGTAAGCACTCGAGAAACTCAGTAGAAGCGCACCTTCTTGTACCATGACTCGATTGCGTCAAAGGAATCTCTGTCTGTTGTGGAGAAGGCCAGAATGCATGCACCAGCCCCCTGTCAAACTAAATTAGCTCAAAGAACAATGCAAAGTCTGCGCGAAAGAGTTCCAACAAGACGGTGGCAAGTGATGAGCTGGTGGAACTCATAATTGTTTGGATCAGATTGCCAACTGAAAAATTCTCAGCTTGGCCTTGTAGTATGCTCTAGTAATTGCATCGTATTCCTCTTGACCTGCTGTGTCCCACAAAAGGAAAGTCACCTCCGGCGCACAACGTGGCAAAGCTTCTGCAAAGGATCTCAAAGCTGAAAACTTTGATCCATCCAAACCGGTGACAAACTATTCCAATGCCTCTTCTCCGATATCTTTCAAAAATGTCCGCTTTTCAAGGAAGTCTACACCTAGGCCCAGGCCATTGGTTGCCGTGTCAATATGACTGGTTTCTGTCAAAAAATCCTCTTGGCATCTGGCCAATGGTCTTCTTATATTCATTTGTAAAAATGCCCTTCGCGAAACGTGTGATCCTGCATCAGCCCATCTGCGGAATGTGTTGCTAACGAACGAAAGTAAAGAATAAATGTTCTGAAAGTAAAGAGTAATCCAACACTCAGAACCGTCTGTGATGGTAACTGTATCAGAACCGTCTGCTCAGTAGCACACATCGACGTCTTGCCGACTTGCCCGTTCCCAACGACAATCACCTGGAAGGCTTCCCAGGACTTGCCAAACGGATGAGCGAACAGCAACGGTTCTGTCTGTGTGCTATTCTTCTCTTTTTGCCCGTAGCCCTTGGCCCTGCCTCCTTACTTAATTCAGTAGGTGTATATTTAATTAAGTAAGCGAGTAAGCTCCTAGCTACTAAAGCTTCTAAAAACTGGACCGGATAGCTGACGCACTGATGATTTGGCTCCCAGTATTTTTGGGAAACATTATGCTTCTGGTATTTGCGTCTCACTTTCTTGGCAGAACAACAGATCTGTTTGTTTAAGGCTCACATAAGCCAAATTCCTCATCTTGAATAAGCAAGCAGATTGGTCTCCAATCTGTTTGCATCTGCCAACCATGCCTTGAGTGTAATGTCCACATCTTGCTCGAGCATGGCTCTGTGCTCGCAGATTGCGACGGATAGTCCTTGGCTCAAGCTGCATCAACTAGTCAGTCTCTTACAGTATATAGATGGTAGGACAAAAGCCTCCAAAGGCACAATTTTGCAGTTCTTGGCAAGCTACCAACTTTGTGCTGAGAGTCTATCCGGGTCACTTCCAACTGTGTCACTCTACAGACCAAGGAGGGTGCAGCTCGCAAAACAAATTGACAAGAGAGGATTGTCCTGCTGTGCATGTGCTGACTGCTAGCTGCTTATTAGAATAGGTGAGCCGCTAATGATGGGTTGCGTTATGGAAAATGCTTTTGACTTTTGAGCCTTTGAAGTTCTTTTAAAGAAGTAGCAGACTCTGGCATGTGATTCCAAGAGCTCAAGCTACCGCATATCATTCAAAGGAAAGCCGATCAAAATGATTTCCTTCGAGCAAAAGCGGCAAGCATACTTCAATGTGCCATGAGCACTCAAGTAGCACAAAGCACTGTAGTGTTCAATCACTTGCAGGCTGCTCAATCCAGAAAGCCTTCCAATGCATGTTCTTCCTCCTCTTTCTCTCTGCGGAGCCTGGCAATAGCCCCGCTGACTTCAGAACATGGTCAGCATGGACAATAGAGCCGGTGACATGCTCAAATCTGCTTTTCTCCCTCCTTCACTGATGCTGTGACCACCTCCTACATCGTGCTTGTGCCACTGCTTGCGCCACAGAAGGCTTTGCTTACGCGAAGAGAGTTTTTTTGCTCGTGCCACCCACCCCTCCCCAGCCCCTCCAACCCAGGGATGAACTCCGTCCGTCGAATCTTTTTTGCATGACATGCAACATGGTTTGCCTGCGAGCCCCCAGCCCCACCGCACAACACCATTATACGTTCAAAAACAAATAAATTCCGATACATTTCTAATGACTCCCCTCTTCGAGTGAGGGAGTTGCGCGTTTACATTGAACCGACGATCGAAGCCCGAAACAAGCTGGAAAACTGTAATACCTCAAATTGCCTTCTGTTCATCGCTTTGCGCGCTGCTTTGTTCAAAGGCTGCATCTCCTTCGCTGGCTCTGCCTCACCATTCAATGTTGATGACAAGCAAACAAACTACATGCACGCAAAACCCTCGACATCTCAGCAAGGGTGGCATGAAATCCTGCAAGCAAATGCCTATTTCTTGCTCCGCAAGCCCACCTTCGTGAGTGTCGCACCAACACCCAACCGTCCTGACCTTCGACAGCAATGGAGCAGTGCCAAAATTATTTGTGTCTTCTCATGTCTTCTCCGTATTCAGTCAGTGATTGGTTGCGGCTGTATCTAGGGAATTGCAGTGAAGCTTGAGTATGAGGCTCATGCCAAGTCAAAATCGGAGGGTTGGCGTGGCTCAAATGATAAAAAGGCTTTTGAAAAGATAGGCAGGGTCTTCCACAGCCAGAGAAACGGCCAGTTAACATATTAGAATCAGTTGAGAATTGACCCGTACCTCTGCGGTGCTGACGCAACAGAAGCAAGCCACGCTGCATCGCCTAGACGAATGATTTTTGATCTCATCTTGTGCTTGCAATTGAAGCTTGTTGTGGCACGTTGAGGGTGTGGTCATGGAGTCATGCCGGACCCTTTGCATAAAACCGCTGCCTTGGCCGTTGCCTTTAGAGGATTCATAGTCTGCAAACCTGCGAGGCACTAAGACACCAAGTCTGTGCTCTGGGAAACAATAGAGTCCAACTTGCAACTATCTGGTATCATTGCACTGAGTTTGGAAGACAAGCCGCGCACCAAGATGAGACTATAGCCTCATCTGGGTCTTCAAATTCCGGCAATGGCGTAAAGGCTTCCTCCTTCACAGAAGCCACAAGCACACGAAGAGAGTCTATTCCTTTATTTGGAGGGAGGGAGTCCAGGAAGAGGAAAGCCAGGAAGATAGTAGTAGGCAAGTGGTTCCTAAGATTTTAGGGAAACTTAACTTGGCCAATCAAAAGACTCCTAAACCAAACACTCCTGTCCTTTTTGATTGACGTTCCCGGTCTGCGAGGCATACCGCAAGCTGGACCATGTCAGCTGCATGTTTTTGCAAATCTGAAGTTAGATGCAGGTGTTTTAGCTCTTGATGATCTGATAGAATAGTAAAACACATACCAGCCCATATCCCATACCCACAAAACAACAAATGCAAAGGCGTCAAGTGAACTTGGGAGCAACAAAATGGACGACAGCTCAATCTCATCTGCTTCAGTCACCATTCCTTCTTTACTCGAAGAAAAAACACATGACTGACCAGCATAACCCTAGAAGGTGAAAGCAAATCTTTTTGTTGTGGGGCTCGGGCAACTGCAGTAGATAGTGGAAAAGACCAGCGTGTAGCCTCTCGTAGCTAGCTGCTAAGCAGCTGCTGGTTGCTAGTTACTGCTAGTTGTCTGAACAGAGATCAAAAGACTTTAACTGATGAGGTCCAACCTTCGTGAGGCATTTCCGTGAGGCTTTGTAATTCTCCATGCCGCAAAGAGCTTCCAAAATGATTCCGTGAGGCACTTCCACATAGCAACCCTGCTCGCAGAAGTCTGTGTCAGAGCTGGGCCCAAAGGGGCACCGATCTGGCCACTGTTCGAAGCCAGGTCCACAGCACCACGAACGACAAATAAAAGGCACTCCATCACGCTGCCATTTCTCAACCAGCGGATCCAGTGAATCAAAGACCAAGCCCAAATGATTGTCCATGAATTGATCAAAGCGGCCTGTCTGGCTAAAATTACCTCGCCATTTTTCCACCAAGAGCCCAAGCTCTGTTTCATTCATAGGCGCTTTTGCTGGCAGTTTGTGAGGATTCTTCACAGAATGAATTGAGAAGCCAAGAGGCTGCTCCAAACTTGGAGGAAAATATGCATTCCATGTCATTGGCTCTTCAAAGGCTGTATCATTGCAGTGTGTGCGCTGCTTGCCATGTCCAGGTTCATGGTTACACCACCCTCCAAAGTAACTGGCAACGAAATAAGCAGCGGCTTTTGGATCGCCTGTAGCGTATGTGTGTTTGTGAACATACTTGAACCGAGCTCCACCGGCAGGAGTAACGTCTGGTCTCGAAGAGATCTCAATTTTCCTGAATTCCCTTTCCCTTCTCTGGAGCTCTCCTTCTAGTGTCCTCAACGCCTCACGAAGTTTCTTCGTACTCCAAGAATGAACATCTTTGAACACATCATCATGCTCATGAAAAGTTCTTTGCTTGGTTTGTGCAGAGCTCCTCATATCCTCTTCGTCTGCATGTTCTTCTCTTCTAGTTGAAAGAAAGGTGTCGCTTTTCATGTCATTGATGTCGATGTGATTGTCGTCATCATCGCTCCAGCTTTTAGTGTCCATCAAACGTCGAAGCCAAAGGCTACAACCATCTGCTGGGGTCTGTTTTGCGAAAAGAAGGCAGCCAATTCCAAGAACAACGCAAAAAAGGCCAGAAATCACACCACTCAGAAAGCTGGCCATTGCCCTGCGCTACATTAATTGAAAGGGCTTCAGCTATTTGAGTCAAGTGCTGTGCTCAATACGAGACACATTGACGCCACCTTGCCCCATGAACAACATTGGTGTGTACCATGCATGGAGTCACATACCGCAAAGGTATAGAGTCACAAGTCACAACAAAATTCAACCTCTGTGATCAAGATACTTTTCAATCAAGCAGCACATACATTGTAGTTCTTTCAATAGCGGGACGAGCACACTGCACACTGCTTGTCGCTTGGATAGTTTGAATTGCCTTTCGAGAGGCAATGTTTGTGATACGGCAGGCTGCGCAAGGACAAGCCTGTTTTTGTCGCAAGGTGACAACTTCTAGCAGAAGCTGCCAAATTTGCTAGATGCTAGCAACAATTTGTCAATGTCCTTAAACTTTGCCTTGTTTGCAGTTTTCTAGCTAAGTTGTATTTGAGCTACAGCGCTGCACTTGCTGCACAAAGGCGGGACTTCAACCCCGGCTTCCCATCAAAGAACCCAGCAGCTTTTGTTTTGCGCCTTGGCACATGACAGAACACCAAAGTCACTCAAAAAGGCGTTCACAGGCATGAGCTCATGTCTACAAGAGCTGCGCTGCTGACTTTGGGTTGCTTTCTGGAACATCTGCTCTGCCTGCCAGGTGAGTGAGATCTAAGAACACTCAACTGCACAGATGATTGATCAAACCCAACTGAGAACACCGAATATCCCATCCCTTGGTCATAAAGTTGCTGTTTTGCTGGGCTGTTATATGTTCAATTCGGTCTGCTCAATTGTTCTCGGACAAACACAAGTTTCCTGCAGTCATGCCTGCGCGCTTTGGGTGACCTCTGTTTCGTCGATCATCTTAATCCGAGCAGATATCTTTTCATCGTCAGTCTCCATAATGACGCCATTGTCTGTCACCTGGCTTGGTTCAACATGGTCTGACAGCGTGAAGACTAACTCGCTATCTCCCACTGCAAACCTCGTCTAAAATAAAGAGCACATCCGACAAGTTGTCAAGCACGAGTTGCTTGCTGATGCCGGAGGACCTTGACATCTCAACTCCAAGGGTGGTTGAAAGCAGGACTCACAACTCACAAACAAAGTCTTGGAGCAATCTTTCAGGCATTGGTCGATTATTCTCAGGAAAGATCTAAGGCACAAGCAAGAAGCTCTGACTTTGGCATGCGCTGGACAGTGCATTGAACATGCCTTCAGCCTCCGTGAAGGGTCAGCTGCATCAGCAAACAAGGCACACCGTACTCAGGAGAGTGCCAGCTCAAGCACGACGAGTTCATTCTCACTGCCAGCGGCAACAGCAGCGACAACTACGTCATTGCAAGCCTGGCCAAAAAAAATGTTTACGCATGCCTTCCTTCCAGTCAAGTTTTGGCCTGAAAAATGACCGTATAGTCATCTATGACGGCCACATCGACATCGCTCCGAGTTGCAGATGGTTTTGGCAGTTTGTTGATGACCTTAGTGCGACGATATTTTTGGATACAACCTACAGCTGGATTCTATTCCCCCAATGTGTTGCTTTCCCACCGTCAATCCGGCTACAGCACTAGTTTTTGACTGGAAAATGTGTTTTTCACTGAGAAGCACTTGAAGTGCCACTCTAGAAAAACTATACATATATATATATTATATATCTAATATTATATATATATATTATATATCGTATATATAATGTATATTATATATCCTCTAAGGCTTAAGGGTCACGCTCTTTTCTCAAAAGCCACTTGTTGCTTGACACTTGGCCACAGCTCCTCAACTGTCCACATGTCGCTAAACAGTGCTTGCAATTTTCTCTGAACAGTCCTTGCGAGCCAGCGAGTTGTATTTCACTGCTAAACGCCCACCGTCCGTGTCCAAGACTAGAAGCGCCTAACACAAACTAAGCAAAACCAAATGGCAAACCTTGCAGAAGTGATCACAAATCCGTCCACAAAACGTTCTTTGAACTAAAATACATGAATATAACCCCACAAAGCAAAGCCAAGTCACCAAAATCTGCACCAAACCCTCCTCTGCCATGGTTCCCTGACGGAAATGGTTTCACTAGCTGAAGCCGAAATGATGCGCAACACAGACTGCAAAAAAATATACAGTTGTCATATAGTTTAGTCGAATATGATATTGATGGAACTGAATGTTTTAATGAGTACGTCGTGACCCCCAACGCCAAAGCAAATCATCAGAACCACTATGTTATGTTCCAAGAACGATTGAATAATCAAAAAATTCCCGACTTCTAAATGATACGAGCTGAAGGAAAATCCCACAGAAGTATCTTCACTTTGCACATGTTGCATGTATATTATAGATTGCGAACTTTATCGAACTTTTCTCTTGAACAGAAAGGGTTCCAGTAGGTCATACTACACAAGCTGTAATGCTAACGATGTTGTGAACATTTGCTATGCCTTACACTGAAAATGTTTCACACTCCTTCTGGGTAGTGTGAGCGATCGAATTGTTACTTTGAGTACACTCTGCCACCAAAGCCCGCTTTCTTACATCCCTTGTCTACAGGCTTTCTCTTTTCTCTAAAGAACGGGGTTCCAAGAGATTCTTGGTACTGGTCTTTTTGGTTTGTCTCTTTTCATCACTGCCATTTCAAGCAACTCGTGACACTTATCCATGTCCTTTTCAACTAGTTTCGCTGTTTCTTCTTGTCTTTTCCATAACCGTTTGTACTGTCTATCGCTGAGCTGCTTAAGTTTTTTTCCAATCGACCACGCATTTGGCGGGCCTGTTCTACCTCATCCCCTTCTCTGATTGATAGCTTTCGATTTTATTTCCTGGCTTGAAGGCTCTTGTCAATGGTCCTTCTGAAGGTATTGTTCCCTGATTGGATGCTTCTAACATCACTCTATGGCCTTCATACTGTCCTTTTGTTGATATCATGTCTTCCAAGCTCCTTCCGGGTGATTAGGCCTTGAGTGTTTGGTGTTTTTCCTCTACAAGTCTCCATTGAGAATCAATGCACTGTGAAATCTCCTGGCACAATCTCTGAGTAGATCTATCTGATGTCCATCATTTTTCACAGCCTTTGAGCAAACTCTCAAGCTCTCAAATTTTATCATTTAAATTTCTACTTGATAAGTAGTATCCATCGCGTGTTCATGGCGCGTTTCCATATGCTTGCAGAGCTTCCATAGTACAAATTACACCACCGTAGACCCCAAACAGTTTGTGCTTTTCAAATCGAAACTAGAGCTTGCGACGTCCAGAGCTGGGAAACAAAGGATTGCGTACAGAACGGGCGGACACATCTTAAGAAAGAATTGAGAACCCCCAACAGCAAACCTTTTGGGGAATTATTCTTCAAGCGCGAACATGATGCTGGTCATGCTGCTCAATCAGCGGGGAGCTGACCACGTGAGGACAAGAAATAAAAGCATGAGGAGCGAAGAATGTGACATGAAATTGCTTTTTGGTGCCTGACGTATGCCCTCCGTCCCAACTGAACAGAGAGATCGCTCCCACGCCGCCGAAATCCAATCCGGTCATTCATCCAACGCTTGCCCGAAAAGGAAAACAAAGCTGAGAGAGTTACACAGTGTGGCAGGAGTGCAATCCCGGAGACAGTCACGCACCCCTTTCAAAGTAGCAAGAACCTTTCACAGGTGAACCTGTTCCAGCGGACAGGGCAGAAAACACCAGCGCAGCAAAAAGAAAGAAATCACATGAGAGACAAATGAATAGAAATGCTACATGGCCAGCGGAAAAGGCGGCAGCACCAGTGACAGACCCGGGAAACAAATGAATAGAAATGCTACATGGCCAGCAGAAAAGCCAGCGGAAAAGGGCGGACACAGCAGTGACAAACCTGGGAAACAAATGAATAGAAATGTTGCATCGCCAACGGAAAAGGGCGGACACCACAAGTGACAGACCTGGAAGACAAATGATGAATAGAAATGCTACATGGCCAACGGAAAAGGGCGGACACCACCAGTGAGAAAAGGCGGACACCAGCAGTGACAGACCTGGGAGACAAATGAATAGAAATGCTACACGACCAGCGGCCTGTGGAAATGGGCGGACACCAGCAGTGACACAAAGGGCGGACAGCATCTTAAGAAAGAATTGAGAGCCCCTAAAAGTAAACCTGCGAAGCTACAAAACGAAAGCCAGCGCTTCCCTTTCTCGACAACTGCGCGTCGAAGCAATCAAATGAGCTCGCGCAGCCGCTTGCGGCCGCGTGTCAAATCTGCTTCATGTCTTGTTCTGCCCACACGTAGGTAACCATGCAAAAGCAAAAAAGGTCACTCTTGCATCACCACCCGCTCCAAAATCACTACAACATCAACTCCAAGAGCTTACGTATACCTTTCTCGGGCCACCCTCCCCGACCCCCGACCGACTTCACACATAGATAATTCCCATCCACATTCAGATGAAGCAAAAGCCAAACAATGCACCAAAATTCGAGGTGGCCTGGGACCCAGAGGCTCGCTGCCCGAAACTATATGTTCAGGCCACCTCAGAAATGAAGATATGCGAAGCAAGGGTCCTGAGGTGTCTCTGTGACAAGGCTTTTGTTAAAACAGACAATTTTTCAAGCTAAATTCAAGGTGGCCTGAGACCAGGGTTTGCTGCCCTAAAACACTCTGTTCAGGCCACCTTAAAAATGAAGGTCTGCGAAGCGAGAGCAGAGGATGCACATTGTCCTTCTGCTGCTTGAATGCGGCCTTTTGTTTACTTAAAAGTTCAAGACCTCTGCACTTGACCGATTTCTGGTCCCTAGCCTCTTTCTCGACACAACGCAACTATTTGCGCGCATTTATGGCAGATATCGTATTGACACCTGTCACCACAAAGCTTTGATGCTTCGGCTGAAAATGAAACCTCGTCTTCGGGCGCATCCGCAGTCGGAAAAGCATCACACCATCCCGACTCAGGTGTTCTTAGACCCAACCTCCCCCCCCTGAGGGGCCACAAAACCTTGCAAGACAGGCCTCACTATTTGCCCTTAAACACAAGATGTCTTTGGCGCAAGAAACCAAACTTGCTCACTCAGTGCTCTCTCACCACTGCCGCGCCATTG